CATACTTTCGATTATTTGCAATTCAATATTTTCTGTTTACATAGGGTAATTAACGTGTAATGTATCGAACTTATCCCTCTCTTATTCGTAATGTTAAAGAAAAATAAATAGGTATAAAATGTTTTTCAATTAATCCTGTTAAAAGCGGCTCGTCCAGAAATTTTTCTTCTCACAAAAATAAGTGGTAAAGCCGTCGCTCTCATAGCAGTGACTAAAGCGAATTTTTGGCACGTAACCTCAGAAAAAAGTACCTATATGTAGGAGTAGGGGCGTAATTTGAATACGACTTTCTGTGCCCATTTTTTTAAATCTTGATTTTTAACGCCTTAAGTTGTTGTGGATGGAGTTTGTACTCTGCCTGCTAATCAACCACTTCTCCCGTATGAAATCATTTGTTAACAAGATTTTGAAGTTTATTAAGAAACGCTTGTAATAAATAGAATAAACGATTTCCAAGCTATTGGGATAAATAGTCAAGAATTGAATGGTTTTGTCCGGAACCGGGACGAGCTGAATTTTAAATTATAACCCCTAGACCTTGCTACTTGGACAAAGAAAGGAAAACTCTGGATTCCTCCACACGCCGTTCGTGAAAGTAACGTTGTGGAACCAGTTGATATGATCAGTTATAAGAGACAATTGTATTTGCAGCAAGCTTTTTTTGCATATAATGAGGTTGAAGCCCCTTCCTGAAATAAAATTTTGACTTGTTGAGAACTCGAAAACCCTTTAACAAAATCATTAACTGACCAACGACTATAACTCTAGGTAGGTATATAATAGTATATTGAAAGACAAGTGTTACAATGCGACCTATTGTAATACGATTATCTTGTGGCACGAGTGGCGACGCGAAGCGTAGCCACGAGTGTCCGCAAGATAGAAGTATTACAATAAAGCATTGTAACACGCGTTTTTCGTACTATTTTTTCTATTTCGGTGCTTTAATTTAATTAAAAAAATCATTATCAGAAACTATAGGGAACATTAGAACTAACATGTTTTATGTTGGGAACACTTTTTATGCCGTTAAGTTTTAGGTTGGCAGCGTAGTAAGACTGACATTTTGAAGTTCAAACATGGAAGTACCCAACGAAGTACCTACTTGTACTAACTAGTAACTGCCAACTTAAGAGATGAGTTACCAAAAAAAACGACTATAATCACATAGACAATCATCATTGTGACATCGAAATAGAAAATAGTATATTGAAAGACAAGTGTTACAATGCGACCTATTGTAATACCATAGAACAACAAACTTAGAATGGAAACTGTAGTGTAATGTAAAAATGACGCGCCATCTCGTGTATGTTCTCAGCAGCTTTTGCGTGAATGGCGCCAAATTTAAATATTAAAATGTAAGCTACGTCCGCATTATAGTGAATTTCTCCGGATCTGTAACAATAACATTGGATTTGACTAGCTGAAACCTAAAAGGTAAATGAATCCAGCCAGTGAAGTCCAATTTTATTTGTTAGGGTTCCAAATAAATTCAGTTTAATGCGGATGCACCTCACCAGTCAGGGCCTTCAAAGAGTACAGGGCACTTGTTTTATAAGTAACAACTCCAATTAATCCAATCAAGGAGTTATATTTAATTTAATACGATTATATAAGATACAAGATCAACTTCATGGAACTCTACTGTATGATGCTCTCCAGATCGTTCTAAAAATAAAATATGTGGCAATTTATTACAATTCAATTAGTGTTACCTGCTAATATAATGTGCGAACTGCCACACGCTTTAAATCTCTTCGTGTTCCAGGTTCTAAAGCGCATCCAGAAAAATGACGTTCACAAACCAAAAACTTTTGTGTAAATTTCTTCCACATTATATTCTAAACCGATTCTTAAAAACTTCGGGCTCCATTTTTGGGAAACGTCTTCACAATTTGTCACACAACATGTACGTTCTCGACTTGTGTATGCAGAATTCATTGTAATAATGAATAGTAATTATACTTAAAGCACAATAAGCCGTCAATCAAAATTCAAAATTCAACTGTCATAATGGCGAACACGCACTAAAGTTACTAGATTTAGTAACTTTAACACGCACGCTAACTATGCGCCCTCTATTGAATGTTCTCCAAACTAATTATGTTTGTACTCAGTTGTTCCCGTTTACGTTTCCCTTCTAAGTTTTTTGTTCTGGGTTGTAATACGACTATCTTGTGGCACGAGTGGCTTATAATATGCCTCTATTTCTATAAATAATGCTAGCCATAATTAATTGCTATGCAGTTATGGAATCAAATTTGGGCTATGATTGGTTGCAATCCATTGAATAATATTCATAACTCAATAGCGCGCTCCTTGAAAACAAAACATGAAAATGTTAATTATCGTGACAATCATTCTCGCTAGTATTTTTCCGTTAGCTTATTCATAAGTTAGGAATGGACCTCGATAGTGAGAACGAAAATAATGAACTCGTGGCCGTGGGTACACCTCCTGAGGTTATGCACCAGGCAGAAGTGTGTTCAAATTTATTGCCTGAAAAGTCTCGAACGAAGTACGAACACGTATATGGAAAGTTTATGGAATGGAGACGTCAAAAAAAGGTATCCTCTTTATCTGAAAATGTTCTTCTTGTATACTTCTAAGAGTTATCTAAAAAGTATTCTTCCTCTTCACTGTGGACATTCTATTCGATGTTACGAACTACATTAAATCTTGATGATGGAGTGGAAATTGATAAATATCCCAAACTACGTACTTTCCTTAAACGTAAATCAGATGGACATCTTAAGAAGAAATCTAAAATCTTCAGCCCCGAGGAGATAAATGCATTTTTGAATAATGCACCTGACAAAGTATATCTTGCAACAAAGGTTTCTGACGTTTCTTAGTACGGTTCTTAGTTTAATCTTTCGTATTTTTAGGTTGCACTGATAATGGGTTTAATGGGTGCATGTCGAGTCTGTGAGTTAAGTGACATGAAAGTCGAGGATATTAAAGATTTTGAAGGGGGAGTTATTATCACAATACCTAAAACTAAAACTAAAATTGTCCGAACGTTTACAGTTACGGGTCAATTCTTTGATATATACAAGAAATATGCGAAATTGCGCCCACCTACCGTTCAATCCCCCTTCTTTTTTTTAAATTTCCAAAAGGGAAAATGCACAAGCCAAAAAATTGGAATTAACAAATTTGCGAAAATGCCCAAAGATATTGCTACCTTCTTGAGACTTACGAACACGGATTTATACACCGGTCACTGTTTCCGAAGAACATCCGCAACAATCCTAATTGATGCTGGTGGAGACATCATGGCTTTGAAACAACACGGTGGCTGGAAATCAACAGGCGTAGCCGGAGGATACGTTGATACTTCCTTGACAAATAAGTTGGATACCGCTAAAAAAATTTCAAGCTCTGGGATTTCTACTTCCAATATCGCTCCACAACCTGTAGCATCATCATCCGGAACATCTTGTAGTAGGTACTAACGTATTAAATGCAAATGCACATTTTGAGACCCATGCTCAAACCAATTTGCAACCAAATTCTATAACATTTGTTAATTACGGTACCATGACAGTCAATTTTTCAAGATCTACCACAGAACTTACTCCGCCATAATCCGACGTTAAATAAGAAATCTTTCTTTTATAGAATTAAATCCTGCTTACTTTGTTTTCATTTCAGTTATTTTTGTGAGTATTTATTGTAATGTAAATGCTAATAAAATATTAATCTAATTGAAGTAATAGTCGTAGATAAAGTATAGTATTACACTCGCATGTTATGGCTCTTATTCACTCGGTCGCTCGCGTCGCAAACGTCAACCTCGTGAATAATAAGCGCCATAACATGCTCGTATAATAATATACTATTTTAGAATCTGGTAATACACCGAATGAAAAAACTGCTCCTTTCCATATATATGTATATTGATAAAAAATAAACCAAATCTCAATCCACAATTCACCTTGCTTACAATTTTTCCTTATTGTCATTCTTATTTGGATTAATTTTTTACTTGTTGTCTAATTTTTTTAGTTGGAGGTTGTAAAATAAAGTACATTTACTACGTTGAAGAAACACCGGTTCTACGTTAAATTGTTTATTGATTAGTACAAATGCTAAAACTGTCACATTTGAACAACGCTTACTAAATTTGTTACAAAATACCGCATTCCCTTGTAATGTTTTTTAACAGAGGTTTATAATAATGAAGAAATCAAAACTACTCTTAAATTTTCCTATTATACTCGTAGAAGCTCCTATCTTACCTAAATTAATACTTTCGAGCCCATTTAGAGGAACAATTTTATTGAAACAACCGAATTTCGATGGGAATTACTTCAAATGAATTCACATTCTAGTTAATAGGCCCTATACAGTATACAGGGTGTTCATTTGAAAACTTCCCACTACGGATTTATCCAAAACCACTGATTGATTAAAGGCAAAAACGGTGAGACACGTCAAACGATTTGTAAAGGTAGACAACTTTTTAACCAGAAACTACTTCACCCCCTTTCACCCTCTACCCCAGGGTCATTTTTCATAAACAATTAGTCTCGAAAAAAGTACTCTCGTAAGCTGCTAATGTGATAACCATTAACCACTATTTTTTCGATAAAAGTTCTCGTTAGTTAGCGAGATTTTTGCGAAAAACCTTATTGACCCCGCGTTAGCGGTGCAGACATCGGCGGTGCTATAAAATTCCTGCTGGGAAAAAGCCACTGTGCTCTTTCAAAATTGACGTACTCTTGGACGCATAAATTTGTCATCGCCCCCAAAAATAAGTGCATTGCTTTAAATAAAAAAAATATCTTTTTTTATTGAATACAAAGACCAATTTATAAAAAAAAGTGAACCGTAAGATGATATCGGTGGAAGCTAAACATAAAGCAGTACCACAGCAGCTCAATTTGAATTGAATGAAACGTCCGCCCGTCCGCAGTGTTTTATTGTACAACCAAAATCGTGAAGTGGTGGGGGGGTTCGTTTTATTCTCCACAGGTGCGACGATTGTGAATGTGAATCGCGACCGTATCTCCAAACAGATTCTCATTACGGAACCGGCTGTTCCCGTACGCTCTCGTCGCGTGCTGCATGTTGGTGTCGGTTAACTTTTGACGTTCTGTGAGAAATTCACGACCATTTATTTCAAGTGGTCATGAGTGTACGATCTAAATTTATAAATAAATTACTTAAATGGAGCACGAATTGATTCGTCTAATTTCGATTCGTAAGATTATTTTCGACGTCTTGCTATTACTTTGCGGTAAGTGACCTATATTTACTACAAATTGTAGAGGTTAGGTTCGTTCATTGATTTTCAAACGTAAGATGATACAGTTCGCAGTTGTCAAATACAAAACAGTAACGTATCGATTACGTTGCCTAACTTGCGCAAAAGGCGGCGAGGTTCAAATTGTTTCTATTCATTTGTTTTACTTTCAGTGGGATTTCCTATTCTATTCCTGTACCTTTGGGGCGATCCCTATCGCAGGGGGTTCTTCTGTGATGACGAGAGCATACGGCACCCTTTCCACAAGTCATCTGTTCCCTCGTATTTTTTGTACATTTTTGGACTTGGGATGACTACTGTCGTAGTAAGTATAATACATAAAGTATATACGAACGTCTTTGCACCAAAACAGAAGGACGATAGAACGTAAAATAGGGAATTATTATTTATTCCTATTATTTTCGAAGTCGATAAAGTGACATTTTAAAATAAAGTCCTTGACGTAGTTAATGGGATTTTGTTATCTGATAACTACTAACCGTGTCGATAACAGATCGTGTTCAATACACGTTCAAATAACCGTAAGAAAAAAACACTTATAACAAATTGATATCGCCTCCCCCCCTCCTCCCCCAACTGAACTTTCATTCTAAATTTTAAAAAATTGAATTAAATGAGTGGGTATGATTATGATTTAACACTAATATAGTAAAATTTATGCAAACAAATTTGCTTTTGCAAGCAGACTTCGTCTCAGGATTTATTTGCATTCAAAAGAATCTCTACAATTAAAATACAATAGTGTTAAATGGCCCCAGGTGACTTTCCCTTATTACTTTTCACTGATGTGTACCTCATGAAAATTATGGACTCACTCTGAACGAACGCAAAAGATTAACACGAACCATACGTACCTACACTTAAATCGCGAGATAAGCTGTACATCAAGATCAATGGGTTAAGCCGACACGCAATCAGTATTGACTCCATATCAAAATAATATTTTATACGTAAAGAGATCCCTTCCAGCTGGTGCCATCCTTTAGAGCCATCTAAATATCTCAAAGAAGTGCATTTACATTTTTCAAATACGATACGGGCACTAATAACGGGCGATCAAAAATGAGTTGCTGCCGAGTTCCGTGTAAACAAAAATTCCAAAGGTGACTCGACAGCAACTCATTTTTGATCGCATAGTATAACAGAAACCTATAATCTGAATTGCGCGAATTAAAAAAAAAGAAACACGAGGTTTGTTAAATTATGGCTCAAAGTTGCCTATTTATTTCAAGCCGAATCTTAAAATGAATGGAAGAATTGAATAAAACGATAGATCATACCCAATTTTGTATTTTTCAAGTTTTTTGCTTTACAAGAAAACTATTAGAAATGCGCAATCTATGCTATGGCAATTGGCATTAGTAGAACATTTTTACAAGTGGAATTTGAATAATATCTGTTTTTAATTCGGTTTTACCACCGATGCTAAACGTTACAAAAATTCGAGTAAAAATTGTGTAGATGGGATTAAAAAAACAAACGCAATTAAACCAATAAAAATTCGTTAAGCAATTTGTTTTTTCATTTTTAATAGCCCTTATAGACATTTCATGCCTTGACGAGAATACTAACATGAAAGAATTTTTATTTTCTGATCGAATGATACCAATACTAAGTCTGTAAGTGATGTCGTTCCGGAGCCTTTGTGACTCAGGCACACAGAGATCAAGAGCGCAAACGTGTACTTTTTATTTTTTGAAAGTGAAAGTGCACTAAAAAATGTGAATTACTAATCTTTTGCCAGAGTAAGTCTTTCAAAGGGAAAGCTGGTTTATGAAACCGTGATTTCCGTCTGTCCGGAACAGAATAATCGGAGAAAGGCTTGTTTCACGCACTTATACGATTCGGTGCGTATCCAATTTGTTTTTGGTCGCTTCTGACAAGTGAGAACGGGCGATACGGCATGTGTTCGGTACCTACTAAAGACCTCTCATAACCGAAAGGTGCCTCGACACGAATCGGTTTCTATTCGGGTGCAAGGTTCACAAAAACAATTGGCCGTACACATACCTACACGATTTAGTTTCGGTTCGGTTGCGTTTTCGGCAAGTAAAAATATTCTGAAGTAATTGGAAAATTTGCCTTCGTTTTCCCATATTCCGACAAAGTGAACAAAATGCACCAAGCTCCCTTTGGTGAGGCTTTAGGGTGCACCCAGTGAAGTCGATTATTCCGCCTTTGTTTTTTTAATTTTTCTCCATAGTGAGCACAACGACAATTTTTTTCAGTTGTGCGCTCTCCACTAAATAATCGATGATTCGGATTGGGATGATGCGAACTGAGTGTGTGTGAAGAAATGAAGAGATGTCATTCGTTTTCGACGGCTACCGAAAACAAATATGAGTACGTACCGAACCGAATCGAATCGTCTAAAGAGTGCCCGTACACGACCCACATTTCGGAGTGGGCCCGACCATACAATTGTCGTCGTTTTCCGGCGAACTGAAGTCCCAAGCTTGCGGTTGGTTGTACCTCTATAATCGCAGCGAAAGGTCGTAGAAATCCATAATATTGAAGCTGACGACTACAATCTGACACTACGAAATATAGGACAAATCATCGTCCCTGTTTTGTTTGAGATGGTGAGGTCGTAGTCGCCTTAGTGGAAACAGGCCAAAGGAGGGCGATTTCTGATTTCTCTGATCTGTAAACGATAGCGTAGCTTCTGGGTAGACGTTAGTTTTATTTTCCATAGTATTCCAATTAAAGGTCTCAACAAAAGGGTCTGTTTTCTACCAACGACCGCCCTTCTTTCTGACTCTTTATCAAAAGAGGGTGGTGGTACTTCATGGTACTCGAATGAAAGGTCTCAACGAGAGGAATTCATTTCTACCAACCATAGTCATCCTCGACCCCTTATCGTGATCGGATATAAATAATTCGTTATATCTCAAGAACAGATTGTCGAAGGAGGGCACTCACAAAGGGCGATTGGGACATCTGGAAGAATTGGTGATGTCAGAACTTTAAGAGTATCTCGAAAATGGTATGTCGGAGGAAAGTACCCACAAATCCAAAATGAATTGATTGGACGAGATATATCTATTGGTGGAAATCGAAGTGAATATCTTGAAAACAAAGTGACGGAAAATGGTACTCTTAAAGAGCAAGTGGAACGTCAGGACGAGACATTTCTATTTTGTGGTTTATGCGGGTGCAACCCTAATAAATCATCCCCTGAAACTGATATCTTTGCTTGCTTCAAAACGATTGTTGATTAACCGCTATTTATCCGTGCCTTTCTCATAGCCACTTTTTGAAGTCCACAAGGGTTCGTGCTTATAAATATTTTAACCATTAAATTCTTCTACTAAAAGACTGAAAGCGTGGAGTGAAAAATCCTAGATCCTTCACTCAACACTGAAAGACTTTCTTAAATATGCGGGCGCCATTGGGGCGAGTTCGGTCGGAAGCGTTTAATACTTTACCACTCTTCTATTAATTAATTGAGACAACTATATCCATTAAGATTTTATATTCAGAATTTCACATTGTTTCCTTTGAAAAAGTGTTGATATCTGGTAACGGGATAGAATTGTTTTTATAATGTTATATTTGCTATTCTAACAAGCATGAAGTTATTCCACTATCAACAAAGTTATAGTAATAGCGCCAGCTTTAGAGAAAACATACGGTTTAACTTTGAATAGAAGTAAGTATATTGTTTATTTTTTTTTTTCGAGTTGATCTTTGAAAGGACGTTCATTTTCTCAACGAAAATTAAAACGTACCCATGTAATGTGTTACTAAGTAGCTAGGTGTATCGTGTATGTTCTCTATCACTTTTACATTTTTATAGCTGCAAAATGGATAATTAATCTTTGTCATTCCCTTAATGAAAGAGAAATAACTATTGAGTTCACCTTTGGACATGAGAAATTTTTGAACGTTGAGACACACCAGAGCAAAATTGCTTACAGCTTTGCGATTTTTTGGAACAGATACGCAATGACAGTTAACTTCGTCGATAGAGTGTCAATTCCATATACCCTCCCTAGCCATCCTCCCATATTGACATTTTGGTAAAATTAGAACAAGTTTTTGTATACAGGAATAAAAATAAAGTGGTAAATATGATCTTCATGTTGAGAATACGTATAATATCTGCCATGTATTTGTTATTATATTGTTATTCATACAGGGTGATTCCTATAGTACCTGCCACCGTTGGGGAGCGTGTAGGTGGTGCGTAGGGGAGTATTTTGATATAGGACACTTGGGGTCGGAAATCTAAAATAAGGGTGCCAGAGCCAAATTTTCCTTCTGGAATTTCGCGCCTGTAGGTAGGCAACCCAACCGGCCGGCGGTGCACACGGAGCGATCTCAGGCGGCGATGTGTGGCTGACACTTGATCAGAATTTTGTTTAAACCCACGAAATTCCGTCTGCAACGACGCGTATCAAGTGAATAAACACTATGGCACGTTTTACTAACACGGAATACGCGGACATGCACTTCATGTACGGATTGGCAATGGTAACGCACGAGCTGCACGACGAGCGTACGCTGAGCGGTATCCAAACCGTCAGTTACCCTGCAGACAGGTCTTTCAAGAAGTTCACTTCCGACTGTGCGAGACAGGGCAATTGCAGGTAAGCTGACGGAGGCTTAACTTTACACACAGATTCGTGATGCACATCGATACTTGGGTCATTTAAGCACCCATTTCGAAAAGTTTGTTTGTTTACACCGACCTCCTCCTATTTCGCAGCCCACTAGCGCCCGTGATCGCGATCGCCCGTTGGTAAATGCCTTAGAGGAGGATGTGTTGGAACGTTTCGAGGCAAACCCGCGTACTAGCACTCGACTTGTAGCAGATCAGGTGGGTTGTAGTCAACACACAGTGTGGAACATCGCCAACAACAACAACTTACACCCCTATAAGTTTAAGAAAGTGCAAGAGTTACGGCCGGGTGACCATGAAAGGAGGCTGGAATTCTGCAACTTAGTCGTCCAGGAGGAAGAAGCTAATCCGAACTTTCTGAGGAGCGTGCTNCAGAGCTGTCACTTTTAATAAGATTTAAATCTTTTTTATGATTTAAATACTTTTTTCGATTTAAATCATTTGATCTTAAATCTTTTTACGGAAAATGATTTTTGATTTAAGATTTAAATCTTCATGAAAACTATCTTTGATTTTGAACTTAAAAATATGATTTAAATCTTTTAAAAAGATTTAAATACTTTCGAAAAGATTTAAATCGTTTCCGAGTGATTTAAATCTTTTAGAGACGATTTAATTAATACATACTAACAAATCCTCTTGATTTGTTTCAACCTGACTAAGCTAATTACCCCGGGTTT